CATTGTGCTCTGTCTAAATAAGGGATGAATCTCATGCTCTGGAATTGTTCCACATTACAAAAATTATTCTTTTTACAAGCTACATAAAAAAAATGCTGTTAAACAATAATTGCTTATATACTAAAGTGCACAACTGGATGAGAAAATTGAAAATGGAAATTAAAGAGGAAATTACTGCTATTGCTTAGCAATTGCTTGTGCTATCCGATCTATACATAAAAACCATCATCTCGTTCACATTTCTTTTGTAATATTTTTTTTTGCCTCGTTTTTACATTCACTACTGTTATGCAGTCATTGTTGAAGCTTGATGGGGTGTATAAGTTGCTTTGTCTGGTGAAATGGAATGGAAAGACGATACTTCAATGTGCATCTTGAATGCTGCAATTTTTCAAAAGGTTGAATTTTGAAATTCATAGTTTGAATTTAAATTGACAGTTAAATTTTGTAACTGAATGCACTCAAAGTTTGAATTTAAAATGACAGTTAAATTTGGTAGCTGAATGGACTCAATTTGAATTTAACATGACAGTTAAATTTTGAAACTTAAAGCACACAAAATTTGAATTTAAAATGACAGTTAAACTTTATAACTGAATGCACTCAAAGTTTGAATTTCAAATGACAGTTAAATTTTGTAACTGAATGCAAAGTTTGAATTTTAAATGACAGTTAAATTTTGTAACTGAATGCACTCAAAGTTTGAATTTCAAATGAGAGTTGACTTGACATTCAAATTTGAAAAAACCGTTATTTTCTTGAAGTTAATGGGCTCATACCTCATCTTCAAGAATGCACTACTCTAATCCAACCCCAGAATAATCTCATTCCTTTATCCCGCTCCGAGTAAACTAATAAAAAATTTTCAACATGCTCACAATACTGTCGACAATGATGGTTGTGTTCGTATAAGTTGTAATAAATTAAATTGAGGGGGAGCCAAGAAAGAAAATCATTCTTTTCTTCATGTTTGGCGACGTCTTATGTCTACAATTTTTTCATTCGGGTGCTCTATGCTTTGTACTCCTGTTTATTCTCGTGATCTATTTTTCTCTCAAAGATGTTCAGTTTGATGATAAATTCATTTTTAAATGGACTTTTTTTTGTTGTGCGAAATTTTCTTTTAGAAATGAATTAAAGGCAAAAATAAAGCCCGAAAGCTTTTTGTAAGGTTTGAATAGAAATAGGAATTGCTTTTGAATTTTTCAAGATGGATATTAAGAGATATTTGAGGTTATGTTGGGTTTTTTGAGGTTATATTTTTTTAAAAGGCTGTTTCTTTGTTTATTTGATGATTGTCAATGGATATGAGATATGATTCAAAAGATGATTGAAGTTAGTTTTGTTGCTAATTCAGATCAAAATAATGGTTCGTAACTACCCCCCCCCCCCTCCCCTCTTGACTATATGATTCATAAGTCAAAACGATAAGTAATCACCGGGAACTAGTCTCCACCCCTGTTTAAGAACATTTCAACATGAAATATACGCTTCGAAGATTAAAATTCATTCCAGAAAAACAAGCTTATGCTGTCATGATTTTGACGAATTTCTAAGCTTCTTGAGATGTCAGGAATTAGACTAAACCAAGTCATGGTGTAGAATTTGTAAAAATTTGAAAACAAAAACATTAAATTTATTTTTAACAATTCTTTAAAAAAATCATATTTTCATCTACATCCATTTTTTTTTGTACGGATCCAATTTAATTTTCTTTCCTCTCAGAATTTTTTTTTGTCAGCGAGTGACACAAAGCATATTGCTGTATAATATGGAAGAGGATGAAGAAATAATTGAATAGAAAAAAGTATCATTTTTTCATAATCATTCTTCCTTAAAAGATGGCCTGACATCCAAACAAACAAGATAGAAGAAATATTCCTGTCGTTGCAAGATAAGAAGCAAAAAAAATTAAATAATGAGAAATTTATTTTTACATTTTCATCCTGAAGAAGCAAGTAAGAGGAAGGTTGATGAGAAAATTGAGGAAATAAAAATGAATTGTTGTCAAATTGGAGATATATTCGTGGATAAGTGTGATGAAAAGGAAGCAATTTTTATTTTGGATTATTAGAAAAAATGATTTTATTTTTTTCACGGCTGTCCATCGGTTTTTGCGGAATTTTGATCAAAAAGCCGGACATATCTTGATTTTAGTTTTGAAAAACGAGACAGACCAAATTTTTAAGCATTTTCCAAGAAAAACAGGTTGAAAAAAGCGGGAATTAACTGTTATTTACGATGAAATTTGTTCAAAAAAGCTGAGTTGGAAAGATTTTTGTTTTCAGAACTTTTATGAAGTTTTAAAAACTCAGATTTTTTTTCCATGGATTAAAATCTAATTTTTTTTATCCCAAAAGATATGATTTCAGCACAAACAAGGCCCTGATTGGCTATATGCATCTCAGAAATTTGATCCATAAATTATTTCTTAACCGATAGCGACATAAGCAATCACAATTTATAAATACTTAATAAGAAACAGCAAAGAGGTGTAAAGGAATGAAGAGAATCTAGGTTCAAATACTAATTAGAAAATACAAGATATTAAGTTCAATTGTTTAACATCTTATGCAATTTTAAGCGCATTTTCACTTTAGAAAATGACGAAATTGGTGCGTTCGTCCGTCTGTTAATCGACTTAATCCACCCTTCTACCCAGAACCACCTCACTGCAAAAAAAAATATTCAACGTCTTCAATTTCTCAAATCAAACGATAAAAATCATTTCATTTCTTCCTCAATTCATTATTCTGATGTAACTCGGATGTCAAGAGTGAAAACGGAATTTGGAAAAATTAAATCTATTAAGCTTTAGCATTAAATTCCATCCCAGAATGAATCTTTACATTAAGATGATAAAAAATCTCATTGCACAGCTTACGGTTATGGGCAAAAAAAAAAGAGTTTTCCTTTAAATTGAAAGAGGTTATTCGTTGTAATTTCCGTTTCCCACAATAGTAATTTATTATATAGTTTTTTTTATATCTCATTCGTAATTTAATGTTCTGGAAGGTGAACGTGCAGTATATATATATATATATATATATATTCATAGAAATCGAGTGCAAGTTTAATTAAGTGCTTTGAGAATTCAATAAATGCACGTAGCGAGTACATGGTGAGAATTACTGATGACTAATGAGTGGGGAATTCTAGCTTCTTTTTATTTTTTTTTGTATGGAATCTCAGATGAAATTTAATTGAACAATGAAACTTGACAGTTTGTTGCTGTAGGTGAGAGTCATACTGTGTGACCAGATACGAAGCGAAATTGATTGAATTTCTTCCTAAATTGTGTGGATTTCATATTGAAATTAATTGGAAAAGTTTTGAATCAGGGAAAAAATGTCGTTATTAAAAGTTTGGTTTTGGTGGTGAAGCTTCATTTATCTGTCGACTGATTGAAAAGTTTGCATTTGAAATGACATGGAAATAATTTAATTTAAATTAATTTTTGAGGTCATTAAGGTCCAGGTACTAACTTTACTAGCTTTTGTTCCTCATTAAAACTATATTCATCCTTTATGACCCTTTTTCTTCCTCTCCAGCTCATTATTCCGTACCAAAAAGTTCAATCCATCTCGAATATTTCAAAAAACTTTCCAAACAAAATGATTCAAGGCTCACAAAATCTCATTAAAATTGCATCAAATATAATCAATCCAACTGTCTCCAATGCTGAATCGAAAGATTCTGAACTTGTAGCCTGTCAATTTTCATAAAATTAACTCAATCCGTTTTCCTTTTGAATTAAAGAAATTATTAAACCACAGGGGTGGCAAACGGTCCTATTTATGTGTTCAGAAATAAAAGAGACTTTATTTTCTCGCTAAATTCCTGAACGCACGCCATAAAATATATTTTCCGAAAAATTCACATTTTATCAATCAATTGACGACTTAAACTGGCTACAGAAAACTAAATCTTAATGATTAAAGCTTGATCAAGCTTTTAATCATACATATTCCAAACAAAGAGTTAGTTGGAATTAAGGCAATTTTTAACAAACAAATTCAATTGTAATTTTTTGGAAAATGTTTGATAGTGTTAGTAAGGATTCAAATTTTTCAAATTTAACAGCAAGATTTCTGTTCGACACCCCTGGAAAAACCTTTCTTTTATTCACAGTTTCAATTTATTAATCATCATTATCCTTTTTGAGTAGAGTTGTATCATGAATTTAAGGAAGAATGAAGAAATCGGGGAGGTTGGTTCAAAACCAATTTAATTTTGAATAATTTTAATCATCATAGAGATGTAGGTGCTCCTCAATCATTCTCTCAAGCTAAACTGCCATGTCTATAAACTCCACAACAACAGCAAGCATAAGAAGTAGTTCCACATAGAAACTCAATTCCCAAAGTTATATTTAACATTTTAGTTTTATCTATCGACATCATCATCATCATTTTACGACAATTTAATTAGATTACAGTTCATCGATTACAGACTCTGTGTGACTACAATTATAATGTCGAGAGTAAAACTATGTCTATAAAGCACGAAACAAGTTAAGACATTTTTTTAAGAAAATGTCTAGGAATTTTTTTTCTTTTTGACGCACACAAAGATAATGTTGGATGTCACATGAGAGAAGGGACAGATTATACATACACAAGTATACATTGCCACACTGATTGTTGGCATTCAACCTCTCATTCTTATTGAATGTCCATTCTTTCGTTTTTTTGGATCCCCAACACACATGTGTGTACTTTTTTATTATTTTTTTTTCTTTCTTTATTTTATTTTCCCTCTTATCTAATGCCATCGAGATGATGACGAAGGGAAAATAAGAAGTATTAAGGGAATGGAAGATTCAGCAGCAACAACAAAAGAAAGAACAATGGAAGATTTTTCTTCTTGTTTAGAGAAGTAAAAAGGTTCTTGAAAAAGAAAATTATCTTTTTGTAGACGAATGTTTAAGTCGTTGCGTCGATGGACATCGGTTTGTCGAAGAAAGGATCTTAGGATGTAAGTTCGAATCCTATCCTATTATGTTCGTGAAATTCGAGGTTGCAGAACAAGAAGCTGCAGGAAATAGCAGCTTTGACCCAGAATCGAGTGCGATTCAAATGATTTGTGGACGCCCTACGCTTCATAGTGGAGCAATAGGAACCAATCATCATCATCATCAAGGATATCCTAGGGACGGGTTTCTGTTCAATACACCATTATTCAGCTTAAGTCTAGGATATGGCAAAGGAAAGATATGAACAGGACTAGATGAAGATCAGGGGGAGTTCAGGAGTTAAAGGAGATAAGTCTAGGTCAGCGGTAGATGTGTACTCTTAAGCACTGTAACACGATGGGTACAGAGAAACCCACCAAGGTATTGTCGTTTCAAACTATCGATTCCATCTCAAATGTATGTACAACAATACTCAATCTTTGACTCTAAATTTGGATATTTCTATTAAAACAAAATATAACCATTCATCCACGTCATGCGTCACAAATTCCTTTCAAAATCACATAATTATTTTTAAACCAGCTCTTGTTTTGTTGCCCATTTAAAAGATCTTAATCATAACAATACATTCTCAACTCAAAGACGAAAGAAAAATAAAGAATGAAAATATTTTTCCTTCAATTCGTCCCCGTCGAATCGTTTAACGTTCGATGACGAAGCGTGTAAAGAGGCAAAGAAAATATATTTTCATTCTCATGAAATGGGAAATCAATAACGTTTGGGTCTTCTTTTCATCATTACTATCATTCTTATTGCCATTCTTATTCTTGTTCATCATTATATGAAAAATAAGAATGTGACTAGGGGAGTTGTGCTGATGCTTGTATAAAAAAAGAGAGAATTTCTTTCCTTCTTCATTCCAATAAAAATGATGTCATATAAAAAAGAAATATTTAAATCGGAAACCGACGAGGAATATTACAACCGTGCTAAACATATTTTTGTTGTTATTTTGAATGATGAATAAAAAGAGATGAAGGAACAATTTTTTTAACCGCAACAGCATTCCAATAAACAGTAAAACAAAATTATATAGCGGTTGATCTCGTGCAGGGAGATGAAATAAAGTTGTAACTAAGTTCTTGTTGATTGCTTTGAGTCATTGGATGACTAGTGCGCATTTTGAGGGTTGGCTGGAATTTATAACAAAAATTATTGATTTTGTTTGTAAAATTCATATTTTCACACCCCTTTTTAACCTAAAACTCGCATAAAATCTCCACTTCAATCCAAATGCGTAGCTAGCAAATAAACTAAGCAGAATCCAGACTCTCTTGAGCCGATTGAACCTCTCTCATTATCCAACCTCATGCTTTCATCCCAGAGTGAGTTAAATTCTCGAAAAAAAGATCCAGTTAACCTCAAAACACACCCGAAATGCTTAAAATATAAACACCAAGGACACAACCCACAAAAACGAGATAAAAAGGCAACAATACATGATAATGGAATGCAAAAAACGGATGAATATGATGAAATATCTAAATTTACAGAAATAAAATTCATGAATAATAATCGAATGTAAACATACATGCATAACCAGGAACAATTTAGAAGTTTACGACTTCATTACAACCACATACGTGATTTTATTGGAAAATTACTGTTCCTGTTCAATTTCAATTCCATTGTCCACATGCATAATATAGAAAATTGTCCACATGTTTACAATGTTGGCATTAAATGGATCTTCAATACTTTTATACCACAATGGAAATATTTTCTAGTTTATTATGGATGTATGTTGGAAGCATAAAATATAGTTGCCATTTTGTTTGGCAAAGTTTGAATTTTTGAAATAGGAATAAATGGCGATTTGGGGCTTTTAGAGCTTGTTTTTATGGTTTATTCAGTCTGTGCTATTAAATTGAGCATAAATTGATAGAATTTGATTTAAAATTGTGAATATTTGATGAATAAAATCGAAAATACTTTTTGAAGTGGAAAACTTTTACGGGGCAATCAACTATGATTAATATTTAAATTCAAAATGTCGGTTAAACAAAAAAATTGTCGGATTCATAAAAATAAATGAAATTCTGTAAATTCTTCAAATCCCAACAAGCAACATCATCATTTTCCTTCTTAGAAATGCACTTTATCCATCCGCCCATACAAAAACTACTTGACTAGTTTTACATTTCTCTTGATTTGATATTATTACATAAAAAAATTTTCTCCATCGTCCTCCTTCATTTCTATTTCTAGTTTTTATGATCATATATGAAATGTTGATATGAAAACTCTGGCATCTTAGAAATGTCCATTTATTTTGCATAGATTTCACATTTTACTTCCATTCGAATCATATTCCTTCTTCTCTATAATAATATGAATGTATGCATGCATAAGATATGGCAAATATGGAATTTCTTGTTCCTTTGTTCTGAGTAGTATGGAAAATAAAAGAGCTTTTTTTTGCTTAGTTATTCATTGTTTGAAAGCTGTACACAAGACTTTAAAGGACTTGAGTATGCTTATGGATGTATAAAAAAGTTATGAAACTAATGGGGAAGTTAATGGTGTATGGTCAACTGTGTTGTGTAGATTATGGCGCATCTATGATTATTGATTTGGACTCGAAATGCTGGTGGAAGTATTTTACCAAACTTTTTAAATTTGAATTTTAGTTTTAAAAATTTAACGAACTTTTTAAGTTTGAATTTTGATTTTTAAAAATTTAACAAACTTTTTAAATTTGAGTTTTGATTTTTAAAAATTTAACGGACTTTTCAAATTTGAATTTAAGTTTTGAAAACTTAACGGACTTTTCAAATTTGAATATAAGTTTTAAAAATTTAACAAACTTTTTAAATTTGAATTTTAATTTTTGAAAATTTAACGAATTTTTTAAATTTAAACTTAAGCTTTAAAAATTAAACGAACTTTTTAAATTTGGGTTTTGACTCTTAAAAATTTAACGAACTTTTCAAATTTGAATTTAAGTTTTGAAAATTTAACAAACTTTTTAAACTTGAGTTTTAATTTTGAAAATTTAACGAATTTTTTAAATTTGAATTTAAGCTTTAAAAATTTAATGAACTCTTTAAATTTGAATTTTGGATTTTAAAAATTTAACGACTTTTATGAATTTGAAATTTTATTCTGAAAATTTGACGAACAATTAAAGAATTTTCACATACAAATTAATTCCATAAACAGCATCAGTTCATTTTAATCTCAAATTAATCACAATTTCCACAGTAAATAATTAACAAAAATGTTCAAGAAAGCTTAACTTTTAAGAACTTAAGATGCCAACTAGTCAAAGGAAACAAAATAACTCTTTTGATCTTACAAAGCAGAGCCATAAAATCGAAATAATCTAATAATATACTTGTTTCTCTTTCATTACTAAGTTGTGCTTTACTAAAGAAGACGTAACATCAAAGCATATCCAAAAAAGAGAGAAATCCGTTTCCTTTATCATTAAAGTATTAAAGCTTTCATCATCAGTAAATGGACCAAGTCTTTTACCAACTATTTCGAGAAGCACATAAAGCTTTAGTGATGAGTATATAAGCAGACATTGTCATTCATGGCTACACACAAAAGCAAATAAGAAGGAGAAAATACGAAAGATATCAATTAAGTTCTCGAATGTTACAAAAGACATCACAAAGAAAAAAAAGGGTTCCTATTCACTTTGTGGAAATAGAGGCTTTTGGCTTAAATAAAATAAAAAGAATCTAAAGCAGCACTTGTAAGATTTTCATTTCTTTGATGAAATGTCTCAAATTTAACAAAATGAGGATAATTTGAGAAATTTAATGTTGAAGCTTTTATTTAAGCATGAGAAAGTTTTGCATTTATAGATAAAGATGTGAATCTGGGTGAGATTGGAAGTAATTTGAATTTAATGTCATTTTAAGTTATTTATAGAATGTGGGAAAATGAATTTGAAATTAAAATACAATAAAATGATTTGGAGATAGCAATTCAGGGCACCAGCAGGTAAAATGAAATTAACAGCACCAAATGATTCTTAATAAAGGTTGTCTTAAGATTCTGAGCATCAATATGTAGTCGTTGATGTCGCAATGTTCATAAAAAAAAGCTTCACTGATTCAGGAAAAATGCCTTTGTTGTGTTCCTGGCCCCAAACCACTTAAAAGCCACATAATAATATAAAAACAGAAAATAGCAAAAAAACACCTCTCATTAACTAAATTGATACACACAAAAAGACTTAACCTATATCATGCTATATCCCCAACAGAAATTGAACTAGAAAAGTTCACAAATGATAACAGCAACAAAAAAAAATAATATCCTGATTAAAATTCACAATGAATATTGTCATAGTCAGCGACAAATGCATGCCGTTGTTATATTTTAGTTCAATTGTTTAGAATTTCATTCATATATGCTCCACACAATGTTCCCGATGTTGTTAGTACATATGCATTCCCTTGTGTATGCAAGACATGAAACGATATCAACTTTTTTCCACTCATTTTATGCTTGCTCCGTATGAGTCGCAAAACTTTATATCATATTATCTGTATGCTGAGCTTGTTCATTTGATTGAAAGAGTTGAAACGAAGCCAAATGTGTATTATTTGAAGATGGCTGCATAATGACGCAAGTGAAGTGAAAGATAATACTGATTTTTCGATTCTTTTGATGATGTTTTGTGCGACATTAATTGATTTCACTGCTGAATCGGGAATAAATTGATTTTTGCTCTTAAATATTTTTTAACGGTTGCTTTGAATTCAAAATATGGTTTTTAAGGGTTCAAAATATTCATCGTTGTACACCCCTGATTGATTTTTAAAACATTATTGAAAATTGATCAAAAGATTCATGGTTGCACACCCCTCATTGATTATTTTAAAAACGTTATTGAAAATTGATCAAAAGATTTATAGTTGCACACCCCTGATTGATTTTTTTAAAAACATTATTGAAAATTGATCAAAAGATTTATAGTTGCACACCCCTGATTGATTTTTTTAAAAACGTTATTGAAAATTGATCAAAAGATTTATAGTTGCACACCCCTGATTGATTTTTTTAAAAACATTATTGAAAATTGATCAAAAGATTCATAATTGCACACCCCTGATTGATTTTTTTTAAAAACATTATTGAAAGTTGATCAAAAGATTCATGGTTGCACACCCCTCATTGATTATTTTAAAAGCGTTATTGAAAATGGATCAAAAGATTCATAGTTGCACACCCCTTATTGATTTTTTTAAAAACATTATTGAAAGTTGATCAAAAGATTCATGGTTG